TGATATTAGAGTGAAAACTTAATGTTTTTCTCTACTAAGTGTGAACTAAATCTATTACATTGATGGAATTGTCTCCTTTATATCCATCTTGTTGAGCACTGCTTTCAAGAAAGTGATGGATTTTGTGATGTCCCTTTTTTTTCTGCCTCAATTGAGATGAGTACCTTTTATTTATATTTTGTCTCACATTGCAGTTAGTATTTTTACAACTTTAATCAATTTCTGTTCCATGAGTAAAGCCCACTTAGGATCACATGTTATAGAAATATGAGCCAACAGACTATTAACTCCAAACAAGTGAAACAATTCAATAAAATGGACTGATAGATCTTTGTAGTAGTGTGTGGTCCTAGTTTGCTTTTCCGTTGCTGTCACAAACACTGACTAAAACATGCTTGAAAGATAAGGGGTTCTTTTTGGCTTACAGGTTCATTATTGATAGAAAACAGGGTAAGAGCTTGAGGCAGGAACTTGGAGAACTGAAGCAGAAGGCTTGGTGCTCACTGGCTCATTTTTCTTGACTCGCTCATCTACCTTCCTTATATGGCCCAGACCCACCTTTCCAGTGGCAGTACTGCCCACAGTGGGCTATAACATATATATTTAGCTAATTTTAGGTACATTTACAATGAGAGCTTGAAGCAAAAACAGAGTAGAAAAGCTTGAAAAAGTATGCCGTTTGACTACAAAAGGAATTTGGTCAGTGTGGATGAGGAGTGTGGCTGTGAAGGTGGTTAGCACCAGTAAAACGAATAAGATGTTTTGAGGTTATCTCAAGAATCATTCAGGTGCCACCTACCGTAGGACCAAGAGATAAAGGTTTTCCAACTCATTTGGAAGCCTGTGCCTGAGAAGAGAGCTGTGAGTTGCCATGCATGTACAGGGCCATGGCTGTCCGTTGCTCAGACACTCTGAGGCCATGGAGGCTAAAGTCCAACATGGCTTCCGTAGTCACACAACTGACACCCTAGTGTTATTCAAGTGATGTTGGTATTGTAGACCTTTGGAGGACAAGGTTTAAGGAGTTGTGGGGGTTTTCACTCAGATATCAAATGAAGGCTTTAGAGTCAAGGCATCATGTGAGACATTTAGAGTCCTTGTAAAGAGCTCAAGGGTAATAGGTGAGGAGTAACTGAGGATGAGTATTGATCCTAAGTTACAGTGGAGACCCCAGAGGCTTAGAGATGTCAGGCATATACTGACGAAAGCTGCAGATGATGAGTAAAGTCCACCTCAGAAAGCCCTGTGGTCTTTAAATGCAAAGGTCGTAGGAATAGCAACAACACCTTTTGAGATCCTTTGGAACTCACTTTGCCATGGTTTACAGCACAGGTGCTGCCCATTGATCTTCAGGGTTTAATGTTTGCTCTGCTGGGTTTCCAGCTTGATGTGCCTATATTATCCTTCCTTTGCCTCAGTTTCTCCCTTCTGGATTGAAGATGTTCATGCTGTACCCTTGTATCTTGGGCCACATAGAACTTTCCTTTTGATTTTAAAATGCCTCACAATTAAGAGATTATCTTGAATAACAGTAGACTCTAGATTTTAGATGGAATGATGGAACTTTGGAACTCTTGGAGATGGAATAAAATCATTTTGCTGTTGTAAGTTGTCCATCAGCCTTTGGGACCCATGGACAAAATGCTATACTTTGAACATGTATACTCTGAATATGAAATATTCCTTATGAACTCATATATTAAACAGTAAGTGACCAGCTGGCACTTTGGGGAGGGGAATGGTAGAAATGAGAATCTCACTCAAGTAAGTTGGTCACTGAGGACATGCCAACTGGGGTGGGGGGGGCGAAAGGTAGAAATGAGAATCTCACTCAAGTAAGTTGGTCACTGAGAACATGCCAACTTCTCATTTCATTCTTTTCTGCAATGGGACAAGAAGTCCCATTGTCCACATATTCCCATCAAATACACAGAGTCAAGTATCTGTGGGTTAGTCCCTGCGACACTGAGCAAAACACCCCCTTCCCTTAAGTTGTTCTGGTTAGGTACCTGTCACAGGAATAGGAAAATTAATACAGGATCTAAGAAGCCTAAGAGTAACACACACTCTTAAGTACCATGCCATCCAGTGATGCTGACACATGTAGAAACTGTAGAAAGAGTATATCATATATTGACATATATTTGTTTAAATTTACTGTATGATATATTTACTTAAATATATCATATATTTAAAGATTATATCATATATTTATCATATCATTGCTTTGTGGTGAGAATTCATAAAATCTAGTCTGTTATTAGTTTCCAATCATATATTCTATTATTTTTTAACAGGGATTATGTGCTGTAAGATCGAGCCCTAGAACTATTCTCACTACCTAACCAGAATATTGTCCTACCTACCCCAAACTGTTCCCCACCTCCAGCTCCTTATAACTATTGTTTTTTTTTTTTGCGTCTGTGGGTTCTCCTTTAAGAAAAAAAGAACAAAACCTGAGACCAAGTCTTGCTAAGTTTCTCAGGATGGCCTTGGATTCACTGTTCCCTTGGCAGCTTTGAACTTGAGCTTCCCTTGCCTCTCCCTTCTAAACAGCTAGAATTTCAGGCCTGTACTGCCAAACTCAGAAGTGTTACACGTCTTAAGATTTCACACATAAGCAAGCTCACGAAATCTTTGTATTTCTATTCTAGGCCTATTTCCCTTAGCATTACGACCTTCAAGTTCACCCATACCATTGCACCATCACACAAGATATGTTTCTCTTCTTTGTACAGTCTTAACTCTCTCCAATTTTATCTACATTCCACCACTTTTTCTTTTTCAAATCTCTCATCTGTTGAAGGGCATTCATGATTGCTCTCTATCTTGGCTATTGTTAGTGTGGTTGCAATAAACATAGAAATAAGTATATGTCTCCCAAATACAAGTTTAATTTATATATATATATATGTGTGTGTGTATATATATACATGTATTCCAACACACACACATATATTCCACACATAAATATATATTCCAAATATGTATTCCACATATATATGTAGACTGTTTCTATATATGGAATTACCAGATCATATGGTAGTTCTGCTTTTAATTTTCTAAGAAACATCCATATGGTTTTCTTCAGTGTTTGTACTAATTTATATTTCCACCAAAAATCTACCAAGGTTTCTTTTCTTCCAAAAATCTCATCCATATAATAAAATTCATTCGAAATCATATGAGGTTATATCACATTATGATTTTGAGTGAGTTTAGTTTTTGCCATCTTTATGTTTTTACTGAGAAATATGTATTTTGTCTATTTTCTTAGTGTTTCTTGCTATTGAGAGAGTTTCTTATATACTTAGTATCATAACTTATTAAATGTATGGCCATTTCAAGGTCTATTTTCAGTTTAAAAAAAGTCACACCTTTGTCCTTTTTTGTTGTTGTCATTTGTGATTTTATGGTCATATCCAGGAAATCATTGCCCAGATGAATATCATGAGCTTTAGCATTGTGATTTCTTCTTGTTGAGTCCATGCCTTTTGAAGATATGAACAAGTTTGTGCTGTTGCTTTGTTATTTACCCTGTACTATTTATTAGAATTCACTGTGGCCTCTTTGGCCTTGTACAGCCAACAGCTTGATTCCAACTGTAAGTCTACCTAAGTCCCGTTCATTTCAACCACCAGACCTCCTCTTTGTTAGTTAACCTAAGCTCCACATCTGTTCTTCAGCTTCTCTTTGCAGACATCTTACGTTTACGTCCCCTTTATTCGCTTTTCCTTGCTAAATGCCATTGTTTGAAAGGGCATCCTTGACTCCGGAGAAACTTGCAACATCGCCATCACTTGTTTGTGTCTTACTTTGTTTTGTTATGATGAGCACACCCATTTGTTATTATCAGGTTAAATATTTACCTTCTAAACTGCTTTTGTCATCCACCTCTAGGCTAATTCTATTGCTAGCATTGTCTAATATACAACTATAGCCAACAGCGAGAGAAATGGTGATATAGAAGTTAGTGAAAAAATTCATGCAATAACCCCACATTTCTTTATAATTTCAAAAGAATGAATTGATAATTTCTGTTTGTAGAATTCTATAACTTTAGGAGCTTATCTTCTACAGACAGAGTGAAAGAATGACATGAGAGAAATAAATGTGATTGAAAAAGAATACTAAAATTATAGGAATATTTTATTTTCATTCTATTTTTTTTGAAGAGGGAATTAAGGAACAGTCTCATTAGCTCTTCTACCCTAAAGCAATGTGCTTTTGCTCTAGATTTTAGGATTACTTTAGACACAAATACTTTTGTCTTATAAACTTGACCTAAGGAACTATCAGCCATAAAATTAAGGTTGAAGGGAATCGTCTGGGCTCTGCTAGCTAGCATCCAGGGGACAGGGCAGATAACTGTCTATATATATATATATATATATGATTCAATTATTAACCAAAATAGTCCTCATGTTCAAACTTGATTATTAAAGCTATGGAATAAACCTAGAAATTGAGCCCTGTGTAGTCTTGAACTCTGTTCATTGTCAAAAGTACTTTGGCCAGTCTATATGCAAGAGGAAATGTTAAATCTCTCAGTCTTTCCTGAGTTTAGAAAAATTGATATAATTTACATCCTTAATATATTGAAGACATTCTCTGTTGGGATTTTCTTCATGTGAATATTCCCAATTTGCATTTCAATTTCTTTCAATGTTATACATTTTCACATTATATCATAGCGGATTGCTTTTTTTTGACATAATGTTCTAATTTTATCAGAGTTGTGTATTTTGCCGTCTTCTTGAAGACGAATGATTTAGTAAATGATGACTCAGCTTTATCGTGATCTCCTTTGGAGCCCATATCATTGTGTCTGTGGACAGACCATAACTTGGAAATCCAGTCAAGGTTGTCAGGTTGGCCTTGTGTGATGGGGAGCAGAAGAAAGCATGGGAGGAGCATGGGCCTTCTGTAACTGTGGGCTGGCAAACATTCTGAAGGTAGTTCTCCCTGATCCATTAACACAGTGCAATCACCATACTTACTTTTGTGCTGGGAACTTGGTAGCATTGAAGTAACATTTAAAAGAAGATTTGGCACTGTTGTGTTTGTAGTGATATCTTGGTTCTTTATGACACCAGGAGTTGTTTTCTCTGTTATGTGGAAAAAACCAAAAACAAAACCAAAAAGAACACCCATCAGGAGTACAGTAGAGAACCAGCAAGTTTCATTCACATTAATGCCCATGTCCATTCACAACCTTCAGGTTGTTACAGAAAATATTCAGACCTAGAGTTAGAAATCTCACATTCTAAATGGTCAGCATTAGAATGACGTAGGTAATTGCTTCAGAAAGTAGGGTGATACAGGAGTTTGTTGTGTGTTTGCGACAGCTGTTCTCTTACGTGATACTACTAAGTACATACTCAATGAAAATCATTGTATGTGTGAGACTCAGAGAGTCTGGTAATTTCTCCAGTCACATAATTTCCGTGTGAAGAGAGTCATGCCTGGGATCCACCCACATTTGATTAAAAAATCAGTTAAGCACTACCAGAAAGGAGAGGATCTAGAAATGGCAGCAGTTAAAGAGGACACTGTGGTCTCATGCTGCCTATGAGAAAATTTCCTGCATGTAGAAGAGACAGAGAAGTGAGGGGGCACCAAAAAAACAAGAGAATCTATTTTGTATTGTACTTAGTCATTTTTAAAAGGAAAACTAAAAGCAATGTTGAGCCGAGATGTTAAAAAAAATAGTACCGGAATAAGTTGACTTGAAACAACCTATATTTGCATAATCATGTTTGAAATGACCAGTGTTCTTCAGTATTTTCAAAGTTCAGTATAGGGACCTGAGACTAGTAGAGAGAATGCATACATGTCGGTCAGTGTGCTATTGGTACTGCCTAGATGGGACATTTGCTGGCACTGTTCAGGAAAGCAGGTTAGAGGATTCCTATTACAGAATGGGATGGAACAGAGACTTCTGACGCCCTCCAGTGCAGGAGGTCTTGGAATTATAATAATAAGCAAGAATCTATGAAGAAAATTCTTAGTGTTCCTAAGGCATCTGTGTTAGAGAAACCAATATAATAAATAGTGACAAATACATTCTCAGACAGAGATGTGCTGTTTTGCCCCATGGAACTTCTACTTGTACTGTTGACTGAACAGATGGCAAGTACCCTGGGATCATTATCACTCCTGGGCCACTGTCACACCAGAGTCCCTTGCTAGTGCCAGGATTACCATTAACAACCCCTGAGGAGGAGGTGCTGGGCAGTGGTGACTTTCACCTTTAATCCCAGCACTCGGGAGGCAGAGGCAGGTGGATCTCTGTGAATCGGAGGTCAGCCTTGTCTACAAGAGGTAGTTTCAGGACAGGTTCCAAAGCTACAGAGAAACCCTGTCTCGACAAACCAAAATCAAACAAAACATTTTTTTCACTATAACTTTATATTAAGAGTTTAAGACATTAAAATTTTTTTAAAATCTGAGGGGGGAAATGTGTCATAGTCTCATTTTCACACCACCAGCAGATTGCTCAACATTTCTTCAGGCTAGGAGGGAGGAGAAAAAAATATTCTAAGGCCTAAATGAAATAAACTGCCAACCAACATTACTATGATCTGTGAGGTTAAGAAACTGAAAGGAAGTGACAATATCCGAAAGCAAGCAAAACCCAAGGGAATTCGTGTCCATCAAACCAGCAACATCGAAGATGCTCACATCCATCAAATCAGCATCACAGAAGATGCTCAAAGAGATGCTGTTACAGAGTGAACGGAAGGCTGTCACTCTCACAGAGCATGGTCAGTGCACATGCCACTAGAAACGTAGATTCACACAGGGGGCATAGAAAGAAATCTAGTGCTACTGGTTCAATAAATTCTTGAACCACAAAATGAATAACATAGGAGAAGAAGAATGTTAAAAGTATCCAGAAGAAAACAAGCCAAATGACTAGCAAAAGTCTCAATAATAGTTTTGAATGTAATTGAACTAAATCCTTCAAGTAGAAGATTTGGATCACTAGAATTGATTAAAATTATAAAAGTACCCAGTAATAGCCCAGCAACTCATTTGGCTAGTTAAGACCCACATAGGCAGAAAGGAAAGGTTTTCATAGAAATGTATGTTCTAATGGCTCCCTTTCCTGAGGGCACTGACCCAATCAATGACCTGTTTCTAGTCTCTTGGTTTCTAGAGGTGCTCCAAGTTAAACGTACAAACGTAAAAGTTTGAAGCTAGGACCCGTGAAAAAGCAAGAAGATGGCACCATTTGTCTTTCTGAACCTGGCTCACTACCTCAGTCATCATGATTTTTTTAAATTCTATGTATTTGCATGTGTTATTCTTTACACCTGAATAAAATTTCATTGTATATATGTATCACGTTTTTATCATCCATTCATCAGTTGATGGATAGCTAGACTGCTTCCCTTTTCTAGCTATTGTGACAACAACTTGGAAGAACAAGTATTTCTTTAGTTGGATAGAGAGACCTTTGGATATACTCCAAATGACTGTTCAAATTAGGTTATATGGTAGTTCCATTTCTATCTTTTTGGGTTGCCTCCTCACTGATTTCCTGGTGTGGGAGGTCCTTCTGTCTATTTGTTGCTTTTATTGGTTAATGAATAACGAAACTGCCTTGGCCTATCGTGTGGGAGGAGGAAGGCGGAATCAGAGAGAAGCCATGTGTCTGTGCAAAAGATCGTGAAAAGTGAAAGCAAATCATGAGCAGAAGAATCAACGTGGGGCACCTCACTACCTGACTTTAAAATACACTACAAAGCTAGAGTAGTTACACAGCAGAATAAGGGTATAAAAACAAACACATAGACCGAGAACAGAACAGAGAGGCTTGAGAAGACTCACTACGTCTACACTAGCTGATTCTCAACAATGGTACCAAAAATATTCGCTGGATAAAGAACAACCTCTTCAATAAAGAATGCTGGAAAACTAGATATTCTTAAGTGAAAGGCTGAAATGAACCTTACTTTATACTCGGTTCAAAAAGTAACTTAAAATGAGCCAAACAGTTAAATTTAGGATTTGAAATTCTTAAACACACGGGAAGAAAACTGGGAGTGAATCACTTCAAACATTGTTCCAGGCAGTGATTGTCTGGAGAGGACCCAAAGAACAGGAAGAGAAGCAAAATATTGACAAGTGAGATGATATCACTTGCCGATTATTTGTGTTCAAAAGGATGATACACAGCAAAGAGATATATAGAACATTTCTAGATGAAAAGCTAAAAACAAGGGTAAAGTAAGAGAAGACTCAAGGATGCAAGCCCTAAGACTTGGCTTAGAGAATCACCTGTTTAATATGGAACTTCATAGACGAGAGTGGAACCAGAGGCCATACTTAGTTCAGGACTGATGCTCAGTTACCCATGAAGAGGGGCAATGGAGGGAATCTTGGGTGCTGTGAAGATAATGTATTTTAAAATGTATGTAGTGGGCCTGGAGTACATGGAGTTAAGGTGTGGAGCATAAATGCTAGCCTAGCAAAGATGGAAAGGTTTGGCCTCTGGCAGCACATGCAGATATGCTTAGAGTCTTGGCTTGAGGACAGAAAGATCCACACATAGATGAGGGAGGATTATTACCATACAAGCACTGTAATAGTAACACGCTGATGGGATCTTTGATTCACACACAGTATGTTCCAGACTTCAGCTAAAGAGCACCGATAATCCAGAGTGAAAGGGGGAAGGCTTTAAAGTTGCGTATTCCTTTCATTCAGTTTTTCTGACTACTTTCCTCAGATTACAGTGTGCACCTCTGTTGGACTGACTATAACTTGTAACTTCAGAGGTTGTGATGTACTTTAAGTTCAATAAATAAAATTTGATATTTGAATTAAATTTATTTAAGAATACAAACCTTAAATACCATGCATATTAATGGGATTGCATGCTCTTTTGACACTTACCTATATTGTGTAATGTTGAAATTAAGGTAAACATATTTCTTCAAATACTGTCAATTCTTTATGATTAGAAGCTTTCAAATCCTTGCTTTTTTTTTGTTGTTGTTTTTGTTTTTGTTTTTGTTTTTCGAGACAGGGCTTCTCTGTGGTTTTGGAGCCTGTCCTGGAACTAGCTCTTTTTTTTTTTTTAATGCAGTGTGTTTTGAAACTATATTCATTGTATTGTACCAGAAACTTTTACTCTACCTCACTGAACTTTTCTCTAATTCTCCCTGTCTCCTCTTCTCCCTAGGCTCTGTTACCTATCATCTAATCTCAGCTTCTTTGACAATTATTTTAGATTCTACATGCAGTTGAGGTTGGTGTCATTTGTCTGTCTACTCCTGACTTATTAAACTTAGCAGGGTGCTCATCTCTATCAGTTTAGTCAGGATTTCATTCTATTAATGGTTGAACATTATTCCACTGTGTTCATTATCAGCTGCAGTGCTTTGGGCGGATTCTATTCTTGACCATTGCAAATGGTGCTACGATGAACATGGGCATACAGAGGTCTCTTTGAGATAGTGGTTTCCTTTCCCCTGGATGTCTACCCAGCAGCCAGGTTGCTGGATCACATAATTATTACATGTTAGTTATTCTGACAAATGTTTATATGATTTCAGACTACAATATCTATATTAATTGCCTCTCTCACCAACATAGTATTTATTTCTTTCGGAAAATAACCTTTCTTGGTGGGGGTAAAGTGACATCTCATTGTACTTTTGGCTTACATTTTAATTTTAATTCATAGAATTGCAACATCAAAATAATTCTGATTTCAGTGTTAGAACCTTTGATTATGAGTCCATGTTTCTGACATTTTTAGTATTTTGAGCATTTTTACTTGTATAGGGGTTAGAATAAAGCGAATTTAGTATGGAACATGTTTGAAGGAGTCATATCAGCACCAGATTGACAATTTACCCACCCCCTGAAAGTCAACCATTGCTTAGGGTTGAGCAGAATACAAGTGCAAAGTTAACTCCATTATTCTAGAATTAACAATGTTAAATTAGTGTTATACATTTTAGACGCTGAATTTATTTTGAGAAATAATGAATTTTTGTGACTTACTGTGTGGTTATAACTGACTTCAGGGGAAAAGCTTATTATTTTAATGTTAGAGGAAGGATGATAGCCTGCTTTATACATTTGGATCTCTGTGATGAAAAGTACTGTTTTATCTGATATCCACAGTAAAGACAGCTTTTTTTGAATAAATTTGGCACAGGAGAATAAATTCTGACAATTTTTAGTTTTTAACATTGACAGTTTTAACACTGACTAAGGCATATACTGGTGAATGTTACAGTTGAGAAATGACATTTGGCTTTTATTTTTAATAGATGGTCGAAACCTACTTATGAATAAATTTAATCTAACAGGTGATGGTTCTGAACATAAATAATTATATGAAAATTATAGGAGAAATAGAATAGAACAAAAACAGTTATATCATACTGATGGCTTAAAAGAATTAGTTAAAATCTCCATCTTACCTGGAGCAAAGTGCAGATTTGAAGCAAAATTCCACTTACTTTCTTTATAGAAACAAACAAATTCTGAAATATATATGGGACAACAGAAGGCCAATAAACCAAAGCAATTTTGAGAAAGAACCATATTGCAAAGCAACAGTTATCAAAATTGCATGGTACTGGCATAAATCACATATATAGCAGTGAAACAAACAAAAATAGAGAATCAGAAAACAAAACCAACTATGCATAACTGATGGAGGAAGGTCATTGGCTAATAAAGAAACTGGCTTGGCCCATTTTATTGGTTAGAACATAGGTGGGTGGAGTAAACAGAATAGAATGCTGGGAGGAAGAGGAAGTGAGGTCAGAAGTAATGCAGCTCCTCTCAGTGCCAGACACCTCAGACAGAGAGGCATGCTCCACTCTCCCGGACAGATGCACGCAATGAAGCTCCTTCGACCCAGGATGGACATAGAATCTTCCCGGTAAGTGCACCTTGGGGTGCTTACACAGATGACTAGAAATGGGCTAAATTACTGTGTGAGAATTAGCCTAGAAGAGGCTAGACAGAAATGGGTCAAGCAGTGTTTAAATGAATACAGTTTGTGTGTTGTTATTTCAGGCATAAGCTAGCCAGGCGGCCGGGGTGCTGGGGACGCAGCCCCGCCGCCCTTATTTCAACACATAACTAATAATTGACATGACATCTAGACGTCACAGTGGAGAAAGAATAATACCTTCAATAAATGTTGATGAGAAATCAGATTGTTGTAATCAAAGAGTGAAACTAGGTCTCTACCAACAAAAATAAACTCAAAATTGATAAAAAGGCCCAAATGTGTTATGAAATCATAAAACTTCTATGAGAGAATAGTCCAGAGATTCTATAAAATACCTTATTGTAGAACACAAAGCAAATACCAAGAAATACAAGAAAGCTGATTTGATTTTTGTTTTACATGATCACAGTGGATAGGAACTAAAAATCATCATCAGGAAAAACTGTAGGACCTAAAATGTAAAGATTGAGCGCACACTATTGAATGATGGAGAGTCATAAAGAAACTAGGAGGGGAATTTAAAATCCTGGAATTGAATGATAATGAAAATACACCTTACCAGAACCCGTGGGACACAATAGCAGTCTTAAGAGGGAACTTACAGTTGTAGATTCTTCATTTAAAAACTTAGAGAAAACACAAATACAAAAAAAAGATACATCTGAAGGTCATAGAAAAACAAGAAGCCATGTCCCAGATCAATAGATATAAATAAATAAGAAAGACCCTCGGAAATGAACAGAGCAGAAATTTAGAGAACAGTACACAAATTCAATGAGTCAGTTGATTCTTTGAAAAGACAAAGGAAATTGACAAAAACTTAGCTGAATGAATGAGAAGAAAGAAAATGAAGGCTAAAATTGCTACATTAAAGATGAAAAGAGGGACATCACAACAGATACCAATGAAATTCACATGACCTTTAGGACATACTTAGAAAGCACATACTCCAACAAACTCAAAACATATGTGAAATGGATAATTTCCTAGACACATATGACCTAGCAAAACATAATCAAGAAGATGTTAACAATTTAGGCAGCTATGTAACAATGAGCACATAGTGTCTCAACAAAGAAAAGCTCAGAGTTGGGAAAATTCATTGTCAAATTTTAGCAAATTGTTGAAGAAGAGCAATACCATGTTCCTCAGACTCTTCCTTAAGTTGGAGAGGGAAGGAATGTTAGCTGACTCACTTTATGAAGCTGGTATTGCCCTGATACCAATGCCAGATAGAAGAACAACAAAGTCTCAGGAAACTCACACTAATGAACATACACGTAACTATTCTCAATGAAACACTGGCAAAACAGATTTATGAAATATTTATTTTATTTTCATTTTTTGAAAATATTATTTTTTAAAATGATGAATAATAAGTTTAATTCAGAATAAGTTTAAATCCACAGATTTTTTTTGTTAGGACAATCATTATTTTAATGTGTGCTACTGTGCTTGCAGTAGAATTCTATTCTCCTAGGAGTTAATAATAATTTAGAAATTTACAAGTGACAGGGACTCGCATTCAAGGAAGAATTGAAGTCAGTACTTTATAAAAATTCTGTCTTTGTAACAAGATGATAGTCAGGGACAGATTTAATTAATGTCTGGATTCCCTCAGTGCCTTCTGGGGTAAGATTGTAGGTTGTCTGGATTGTGGTTACCTACACTAAATGTCCTAGGAAGGTAGTTCAAAGCCTTGGCAGAGACTGGAGCAGCAGAAACTTATTGAAGACTCTTTTGGCCTCTTCCTTCGGAATAAAAAGAAGAGGTAAAGTAGTGTGCTTAGTCAGTTAGTTTAAGTGTTGCACTAGAAGGGAGGAAACCATTGTGAAGGAACACAGGTGAAACTGAGACTTGAACCTCTCCAAGTCTTCATTACTGGGAACAAGAGCTCGAAAACTGGAGCCAAGCTATATGGATATGCTGAAGAGAAGAGAATGGCGGCTAAATTTGGGCAGTATTTGAACATTTTAAAAAACATTTCTTCTAAAGTGTGTGTGTGTGTGCTCGCGCGCGCACGCATGCGTGTGCACGCACACACTTACACACAGGGTACAGGTACCCAATGAGGTCAGAGATGTGGCAGCTGTGAGTTTCTCTATGTGAGTGCTGGTAACTAAACCTGGATCCTTTCTTTACAAGAGAAGTACATAATCCTAGCCACTAGCAATCTCTCCAGACTCTGGACTTCAACTTTTAACAAGAGAAAATGGGAAAGGGTTTCTTGTGCTGTTGGACAAAATAGGTTCATTGGGGTTGTACACATAGAATGTCCTCACTCTTGAGAGTGTAAAAAAACCTAAGATGAGTTGTGGTTGGGGACTGGGAGCATATTGCTCCTTAGGCCATTGTTAACAGGATGGCTGGATCCCCAAATCTCTTTATTTTCAAACCCTAGTTACTAAGAAAGGATCCTGTAGGAATTGGGGTGAATCTAGGCCATAAATAAAATATCACTTTATTTTAAATAAAAGTCAATTTGAGCTCTACTTAGAGTGACCTTTGTATAATAAAAATTCCAGAAATCAAATAAGTTGATGTTGTTTGATATCATCAAAGGGATTCAGAATTCAGAATTTAAAATTTCCTTCTTCCAGGCTGTAGAGATGCCTCAGCAATTAAGAGTACTGGTTTCTCTTACATAACATCCAGGTTTGATTCCCAGCACCCATATTATAGCTTACTATTTGTAAGTCCTGCTTGGCCATCAGCCACTGTCTTCTGGCCTCTGTGGCACCTGGCACATATACATGTAGTACACAGACATGTACACACATATACAGTGCACAAACATATATACACACATACAGTATTCAGACATATATGCACATATACGGTGCACAGACATATATGCACACATATAGTATACAGACATATGCACAAATACAGTGTACAGACATATAAGCATATGTAGAGTACACAGACATATATGTATATATACAGTACACATACATGCAGGCAAAGTAGTCATACATATAAAATACAATAAAGAAATATAAAAATAAGTAATAAAGCCCATTGTTCCTTAGAAACTACAGCATCATGTTGAGTTTTGAACTCTCTTTCCCTACAGCTTTGTCTATGATGATTTTGGGCAGAAAACGTTAGTTGCTTTTTTTTTTCTTTTCTATATTTTCCTTATTTCTCTCTTTGTACTAGACTCTGTACAGAAGTCTCAAAGAATGTCCCCAAATCCACTTTCTCATCCCACACTTATCACCTGCTTTACATGTAGTGACTCCACTCCCACTTGAGTGAATTCTTCACACTAAGGTTCTTCTTAAGTTAGTTTTAAGAGAATATTTTCTTCTGATGAAAAAGAAGATAGATAAGGGTAGATTGATCTAATGCTGAGTGTTCTTAAAATGGAAATTTGCCTTTGTAACAGGAAGAAATCACAAAATCTTTCCAAAAATTGCAGAGAAGGGAACACATCCCAACTCAATCTGATGATGCTACTATTACTGTGATATTAGAAGATAAAGGTTGCAGAAAAACCACAATCTTATGATAATTCTTAGCAAAATAATATAGATGGAACTGGCCTCATAGGAGAAGTACTCCGGAGTGTGACCAAGGGGAATTTTTGCCAAGAGAGAAAGGTTAGGTCAACACGCAGCAATCAAAGGTGCATCCCATGTTGATAAAATAAGGAACAATAACAGGGCAACTGCAATAAATTGAGAAAAAGCATTTTTGAAAACGTAAAATTCTTGCATTATAAAAGCATCTCTAAAAGCTAATCACAGGAGTTTAAAATCACACTAAATGGTGAGATCCTGTAGTTAGATCTCTTGTAGTTAGGAAAAAAGGAATGGCATCCTTTCTCACCACTGTTCAGCATCATTCCAGCAGTTTTATCAAAGAGACACAACTAACAATAAACCTAAGTAGATCAAAGGCATTGACTTTGGAAATGATGACCTAGATTACATCATGCTATCTATAGAAAATCCCAGCCGCTTCGCACACACACACACACACACACGCACGCACGCACGCACGCACGCACGCACACACACACACACACACTTAACAAAACAACAAAATGAATCAGTACTCACCTTCATGTTCTACTGTTGTCAGTGAGGTAGGTGGTGCTGGAGTCAAAAGATGCTCAGGCAATTCATCATCAGTTTTTCCTAGTTTGATAAGATAGATGATGGTGTTATTAACCACAGTCTCGTCTCATCTGCCAAGGAATGAGGTTTAGAAATGATCTGCAATCAATCTACAGATGTGCCAAGTAACCCTTGTCCTTTACTGTATTTCAGCTCATTCTATCTAAAGGGGAATGCAAGTATGGAATTATTGAATGACTGATTTAAACACACGCACATACACAGCCACACTGACACTCACACCCATACCTCCTCACCCCCCACACCCATACACTTCCAGTCCTCCACCCCCATATATACACCATCCACACACACACACATACATACCCACACCCAAATACACACACACACATACATACTGACACCCAAACACACACACATACCCACAGCCAAACACACATACCATACACACACACCACACATTCAGTATGAGTGATCCAAACATCCAAACAGCAAGTTTTTATTGCAGATTATTTCCTGGATATTATCAAAAATGCAAAAAGGATCATTTTTAATTTAAAACTAAATTTCGCTGTTTCAAAAATCATTTATTTTTCCTGTGGGGGGAAAAATCCTTGTCAAGTAGGATCACAAAATGTAACATTTATTTTAGAGTTATATTTCATTTCCTTAACTTAGTCATTCATGGTAATGAAATTTGAATAAAAACCAGACATTGAGAAACTTAAAAACTTCTGAAATTAATCTTCTCTTTGTATTTTTGCGTGCACTGCGCATGACACACACCACTGTCCTTTGCTGATCTGCATGCCCTTGTGTTTCCTTATTTAAAAGAATATTTATTAAATGCCAGGAATTGCTCTTGAAATTACTTGGAGCAAAAAGATGCTGAGGATGGGTATTGCCCACAAAGTCATGGAGGAAACCCTCTTCGTATAAATCTAATACCGTGCAGGGCATCTGTGTGTATATGTGAGTGTGCGTGCTTGTGTGCATGTGTGTACACATATGCATATGCATATGTGCTTGTGGTAAGAAGAGTAACACTTGGGGATTGTTGCTAATTTATCAGTAACCACTTTCAGATATGTGCAGCATGCTACATATGGTATGGTGAATTTCTCTTTCTGTGCTGAATATATTAAAATTCTGAAGAGAAAAATGTACCGTTATTATGAGGAACTGCTGGTAACCATTAGCAACTGTGATTTGTGTTAATTTAAAGTTCATAAACAATTCAACAATTTCAAACAACTGTTCAGAGAAACAGACTGAAGTTGACATAAACATAAGTGGATTCTGCATATATATATATATACATACATGATATTATATCACAAATTACTATATTTTTCGTATTTACATTTTCCACAGAGTGTTCATTTTCAACTCAAACTTAGCGGTAGGAAGATAATTGAGAAAAGAAAGGTGAGGCCCACAATCCTATCATAGTTCCATCTAATCATACAAGGACGTTTATGAGACTAGTTTTTTTTTTTAAATTCTCTTCTTTGCAGTTTTATGTATTCATTTCCTGCACAGAGGATGCGCAACTTAAACACCGCTGTAGCAGAGCCTCATATGAGATAGCTGGTCGGAAATACCTCTGGCTGTAGTTAAAATTTAATGTCTGTTTTTGTGCATGAGATTTTAATATTAATTCTGAAAGCTTGTTGTCCTATCAGTTAATTTATCTCATTTAATACAAATTCGCTATCAACTACCCTCTTTTTGTTTTTTTTTTTTTGCCAATTTATTTATTTATTTTA